TGATAATAGTTAAATAAACCTTTGCTGTAAAAAGAAACTCTCAGAATTGAATTCACCTTGAACATTTTCATTTCAAATTCCAAAATGGACTCAGGATTTTAACAGAGATGTGACTGTAACCGGTTGAGCTGTTACTTTCAAAGATAAGCGAATGACAGACTGAGAACTTGCTGAGAACTTCTGAAATCCAATCTTTGGTTATAATTATTGGACTAATAACTCTCGATAGTCTAGTGTGCGCTGAGTTTTTCAAATCAGTATCAGTTGATGAAAACTCTTGGACACGCAAGTGATCTGCTTGATGATACCACTTTAATTGCAGTGCTAGGGATTACTAGTGACATAAGAGGATTTGAACTAAAAACTAGAAAAAGTGGACCCATGTAAAATATCTTAAAGTTAGTAGTATTTGAAGTCATGTCTGTTAACTCCTAATTCATTATTAACAAAATATCATATAGTACAACTAAAGAAATAACGAAAATCTCTAAACTTTCAATGACCACCCTGATTATATCACTTTGTCACTTAAACCAGCCTAAAATCATTCAGATAACAAACTGTTCAGTCCTATGTAAGTAAATAAAATACAATACGTTTCATGATACCAAACTTTTAGGTTGTTGATCATATGATATTCACTTTCACAGTAGTGAACTTAAACAAAAGGCTAACAAAATCAGATTTCAATTACAAATATAGACAGTTTAGATACTTCCAAAAGATATTAAAGTAATCTATCATTTAATGATAATGTTTATTCATAATTTTTACTACGACTTTCTATACACAAAAGCATAACAAAGATTAAATCCGGTTTAAATCGTCGTTGTCGGCTTTCAGTGACCAATAAACAGGGCGAAGTGTGAGTTTCCAGCTACGCTGCCACCCACTTCTTCATATACAGCTAAGATTTAACTCCAAACATTAGTAAAACATTTGTATAAGATGCTTACATGCCAAAAAACACTGATTAATTCAGTCTTGGAAATTATTTTGGGTAAAGATTAAAATTCCACTAGCTCCTGATTATGACAACAGAATCTTGACTCAAAAAACCTCAGTTAAGTTAAACAAACGAATACGTTGTTATTACAAATTTCTAGTCACCTAGCTATATTGTGAATGCATTTTATGCACATTGACAACCAGTTTCAGTTGTGTTAGTCGGATGGAGCCAATCGGTAGGAATCTCTGGGCTTCGGGCTGATACTTTATGGCACTCACAAGCAAGTTTTATCTACAACTTCTATGGGACTGCTTTAGCACCTGAGAATCGAATCCACACCATCCAGTACTGAAGTCATAGACGATACCACAGAGCCATCCAGTCCGTGACTGACCTCCTGTGAGACTGGATTAGACACGTCGACTGGTCACTGGAGAGTAACCAACTTCATGTTGTCTTATCCTAAGTGCTAACCGAATTCTGTCGATCATTTTGCAATATGGTTACCAGGCTAGGTGACTCAGCATTAGGATGTATTCTGATAGATATTAGTTGGATAGAGGTAATTGGCAGGAAGCTCTGGATTTAGGTTTGAAATTATGTTTCCTGCAAGAAGTATTATTTTCCGTCGACAACAAAAGCGGCCAGCCTAATACCACGAACCGACTGATAACAGTGAATTTTAGTGGTGAACAATTTAATAAAACCTTCATGTGTGAATCAAACTTCATAAGCGTGTCAGTTAGTTGAACAATATTAACTTGGAACCTGGAAATAATGCTTAACCGTCCAAGTTGCCACATCTTGTACAAACACATCCACGCACAACGAAAGCTAGAGAAATACAGAAAACAGTAGTCAAAATTAATAGGAAGTCAAGAGGAGAAAAGAAGAGTGGGCAAAACAATAACGAGATAAGATGTAACAACTAGGGTAAGCCACTGACATTGATTCTTATTATCATCGACTAATACTTTCATTTGTCGCAAAAGCCTTAATCAGGAAGTCTTACACTCCCAAACACACCTCAGACCAATATTCACATTGATATGATTATGAGCAATAATTTATGCACGAAACGTCATCAGGTAAATAATACTAGATTACTGTATGTTATAAATCAAACAAACAAATCTAATATAGAATTAAATCCTACCATAGTCCCCAAGTTTTACACCTATATTAAAAGATAATTCCATAAACTTCAAACATGGTTCATATAGCACTAATTCTCTCTCCTTCTTCGTAATATAGGCGTCTGAATTTTCTATGTATTTGCAACAGGTGCTAAACGATTCTCGTTGCACATATTTAATGTTGATTCCATACACAAACACTCGATTATCAGTCTCTGCCACCATACTGTTGTATGTCTGTTTGTAATTGGATGCATAGCTATCGCCGAACGTTTGTCTAGAACCCTTATCTTACAAATACTGACTTATCTTGATTTTGATAGGCTTTTCTGCTTCAACAAGCTAATTGAACCCAGTTGACTAGATTGACCTCATCGTTGAAAATATAATTTGTTTAACAAATCCATTTCAATCATTCAGCAGTGTGAGTAGTAGTGTGAGTAGTAGTAGTAGTAGTAGTAGTAGTAGTAGTAGTAGTAGTAGTAGTAGTAGTAGTAGTAGTAGTAGTAGTAGTAGTAGTAGTAGTAGTAGTAGTAGTGAAAATAGCAAGTCTGTAAGTGCTTGGCTTCGAAATTTGTATCTCTATATTTGTCAGGATGTTTTTACTTTTACTGGCATGAATAGCTCCTTTTGCTATTTTTCACGCGTCAAATTTTGTTCGACTAATCCAAAATATACAACTTTTTTGCTGCTGTTTTGAGTTCATACGGGTAATGACTGCTAATGCTTCAAAATATTATTTATTCTTTCATTAACTGTTAAGACAGAGATCACATAACTGAAATGTTGTAGTAGCAAAACACTTCGATTCATCTACAAAAAATACTCTATGATATTACTTCAGAAGTCTTATCTCAAAACAAAAGAAATATATAATAAGTGCTATTAGCATTCAGGATCACCACCTATAAGTCTGGTAAACTGGATCAACAGTTGTAGGAATATAAAGCAAACTAAACAAGACGAAATAAAGTCTTTTTTTTGGTTGCTAATGGAAAATTAATAATTTACTTTCGCGTTAGTGACAAAAACTATTTGTACACCTGTACAACAAAATAATAATGCACACAGGAATATCTGCAACTTTTATTCTACAGTAAATCTAAGGTTTATTTCGACAGTTATAAACGTATCTTAAGCTTCCGCAGTTTTCCCTTGTGACTATTACTGTACAAGCTGAAAATTACAAATTCTCAGCTAATGCTCTTGCTTTCATGTTTAAAATAATAAATTTTATGAATAAGCATAACCGTGGTTAAAACCAAGGGACGTTAAGTATTCGATAAGAATCAACATGAAATGAACCATGTATCCACTGCCACCAGCGATTAATATTTACTCAGCTGATATAAGTCTAGGATAGAAATAGTCTTCAAGTGATTAAGGTCTCCTAACGCCGCTAACTAAAATAGTAGGAAGTCACTTTATGATGCATCAAACAGTTGAAGGCATCGATGTCAGTTTTCAAATCACCTTCATTATCATGACTTACAATCATGGTGTACAGCCTTATTCTGTCTTCCAGTATGTGAGATATAAAAATATTTACTAACCTAACTTTTTCCTTAGCACTGATTAATCAGTCTACATTTTTGTGTGAATCTAGTGAGATAAAGAAAGGTAAGATTAAAATCATCTCTGCGAGAAGCTAACAATTACTTGTTTCTAACCGATACTACAGATAAATAGCATTGTTGATGAAAATAGTGCTATTATTGTTGTTTAAGTTTATTGGTCCCGATCGATTTGGAACCAGACGTGTTAAACTACTTAACTATGACTTGACCTTTCATCTACTCCAATTTCGACAAGTTGTCAGCAGTATTTAATGTTTCACGGAATGCATTTTAGACGGATCCACACGCAAATTATACTGCAATCTAACTATACACTCAAACTTTGCCAATCTTTTGAATGATTGGTATCAGCAATCCGAAACTAATGACATTCATGATGAACAAGTTATTCCAAAGACAATTCTACCAAGATACCTATGATCGACATAGCAACTCAATAAGTGGCCGTTTTGTTTGAGACTCAGTGACAGATATGCCTTAGTGATGAATGCCAACAAGTAAAAATCACAGATTCGGAGCATCTTGAAGACTGACTCTAACCATCTACCATCTACCGTGATTCTAAATTTCTTATTTTGGTGGCCACAATTACAAATGATCGACAAAATTCGGTTGGCACACAGAACTAGATAGTATGAAATTAGTTACTGTTCAGTGACTAGTCAGTGAACCTAGCTACTAAAGATCAGCCACAACCAGAATAACCTTCTACTAATATCTCTAGCTGAAGTCCTGCGTGACACGGATTCTAATCTCTTAAGGCAAATGATTCACCCAGAAGTAGCATTTGTGTCTTGCTGACGAGTACCAACAGGAACAAGACCTAGACACAAAGCTTTCTATCAGCTTCCTTCAGCTATATGACATCAGTAGCCATCTGTTCACTTCATAACTTAATACCACAATAGGTTTTGACCTCGAATAACCGACAAGTTCAGAAACGGATTCCATGAACAAAATTCTGTTCAGGAATCAATGGAAACAGGAAAGTACTTGATCGTCGTTTAGTCACCACCAAAATTTTCCACCGGTAAACATCATCAACTAACTTAAGTTTTTTCACGATAACAACTTAACACTAGCAGCCACTTAACGAAATAATTTTGTGACGAGACTGAGGCTGAGTTCAGAGTATACTGTAAAAAAGTTGGTTAGTGACACGCTTCAAAGTACTTGTAAATTGGTTTTAGTTTATCACAAACATTTACAAATTTTCCCATTTTTCAAAACTATGACCTTTGTGTAAAGTAGTTCAACCTTAACCATCATTTTCGAACATACATTATGCTGTCAAAGTTAGATTAATACAATATTTTGTTTTGATAATCGTTTCTCCAGTAAACAAACGTGCAACTTACCTCACTCAAGATCGCTTAAAACCATCATTATCTTCATCAGCAGTGGAAAACAATTACGCTTCAATATCTTCTGTCTCTTCGTTTAATCAACGTCAACCACCAGTTTGTCCTTCATGTTCAAAATATAAAGGCAGTAAAGATTCAATCAATATCCTCCCAAATCCCAGAACAATGATACCTTCCAATGAATACGGCTATTTAAGTAACTTATCATACAGTTTAAGAATACCATTATCGTTATTCGATTTACTATTGTTAAATGTCTTTATCTCAGTTATGTGTAAGTATTTCTCTTGAAATATGGAATTCAGGATAAGACGCTGAAACAATGAAATCGCAACACATATACATAGTGTATAAGTGAGATTTTTTTACAAATACTCAACACTTTCTTCCATTCATTTGCATCTGTTTGATAAGTTTAAATGCAGCGCCATCAAGTTGACGCTGACCTTCACCAATTTGTTTTGTGCTAGCAAATACATCTCCTTCTTACATAAACATTGTCATCTTTCTTTCTATGCACGGATTTATTTATTCATTTAACATGTATATTTGCGAAGAATTTTGACCAAAGTCATTTGAGTTATGACTGTGTTCGAAAAAAGTGGTTTTTTAGAGACGTTGTTACGGTCCCCATCTTTCTTGATACTCTAGTGAACGGATAAGAAAGTTTAAATTTCAAGTTGCACGCTAATCTGGTAGGCAAAACAAAGCAGTGTCATTTCGTTTGTGACCAATGAAAATCAATCATCAAAACTTACACACACAGACTAGAAGTGGCAAATGACATTATACAAACATATAAATGTTACACTAAAAGACTGAGTCACGAAATTTGAGGCGTCAATAACAGCATAATACATAAAAACTCTGGTTTTGAAAAAGCAGTTATTTTGTAAAAGTGATAAATTTGAAAGTCTTATTTTTTTTACTTAATAAAACATCCACTGAAGGCTCGTTTTAAACCAGAAACTACACGACGGCTCTTCCATTCACAATGAGTTTTCTCACACATGTGGATGTCCACCGGTATCTGAAGTGAGTGTCCTTAGACATCATGGTACACAAATTATCACCAAGCTACTAGAATTATATGAATATCAGCTGGTTCCTAATGTATAAAACTATTCTGGAATTTCCAAATCCATAGTTATCTGTGAAACCAAAGTTTAGAAATTGGTGAAGTTAAGCCATAATGAGCCCATGTGGTCACTGCAATGTTCCTGTACATTGTTGACGGTCTGTGGTAGGAGAAATCACTTCTTATCATCTTACTCATCTTCGAATGTTCATCGAAGTCAACAAATTTACGAGCAGCTTCTTTAGCCAATAATTTCTACACCAACTGAAGCAATTTATACAGGAAAACAGACTGATCAAGCTGATTCTGCGTGATAGCTACAACTTTACAAAACACAAGCTTGCTAACTGATACCTAGATGAAAGATGCCTCCTTTGGCTGAATAAATATTCGACGATTAAAGTAGGAACTGTTGAACTATTCATTTATGAAGGAAATATTTGTCTAACAGAGTACTTACATTTTGAGATGGAACTCAAAACATAGGAAACTTTAAACATGAAATGAATGAACTTGCAGTGAACCACCTATTTATAAACAGAATGACTATTGAAAATTCAATTTCTAATCTGAGGTATTAAATTTGTTCAAGGCAAAATCTCCTTAAGCTAGTGATTACTTTGTCCTAAGGGAAAACCAAGAAGCAGTGCTCCGACAACTAAACTTTTCCTGATACTGAGTAGAACGAATGGGTATGAGGACAAATACACGCCAATATAGTTTGTATGATTGTTACACTGTAATGTTGATTGACAGAAGTAGGAAAATGAGAACTATTTAATCCCAACCTTGTAGGTGAATAGTAATACGGTTCCCACGAGACCTGAAGGTCATGGGTGGGTACTGCTGAAGAGTCCCGTACTATGGCAAAACAGCTGTCCAGCGCTCTACAGTTTGCAACGGTTCTTCATTTGATATCAGTTAGTGGTGAAAGTGACCCTGAAGTAAATCAATCCCGACAAACCTTCAAACGGAATTGGCAATATGTTGTTTAATAACTTGAGGGTGTAAAACTAATCTATCCAAAGTCTAAAATAAGTTTTGCAAAGATTGAAAACGAACTATTTAAGCTTAAATATTCATGAAACTATTTTCATGAAGAAACTGAGGTAATTACGAAGCTTGTCGCATAAATAAAAGGGATCAACTACAGATATTTCGGATGAACAACTTTCTCCTGTTGTGCGACTGACAGAAGTCAGCAAGCAGTTTACTTTTACAATATAACAGAGAAATCCAATGCACCTTAGTGTCACTTACCTTAGTTTGATAGACCTACTGCACGCCTGATCGATTACCATCCTTTGACCGGTTCACGTACACATGAATTTTTTTAACTTTGCACCCCATCTAACTGAAAATCAAAGGATAAAAAAGGCAACAGAAAAATGAAATGTGATGAAAACTGGTCAACTAGGAAGTTTAGAAATTAAGAATGAACTCGGATAGACTACAACTCCGTACTGTAAATGAAAAACTCATGAAAAATACAGCAACTTCTAGCTGGTCCCAGTAAGTGTTAGAGTGATAACATAAGAACAATCTTTTCAGAGGTTGAATTATTCCGAAAGAAATATGTACAAGCTACGAATAGAATTCTCATTCTTGCCAGCTTTTTTTTAATTGCAAATGGTCAGATGCAAACTTTCACGCAACACCATGCAAATACAGTCACTCTATTTCCCTATCATTAAACCAGAATTTGCTGGTCTAAGTCTTATTGCGACCGAGATTACTGTTACAACTAAAAACCACTACCTCATTATTAAAAGCTAGTACATTCGTGTAAGACAATTTTAAATGGTCTTTCCAAAAATCTTTGTATCACAACCAAACTTTTCATGTGAAACAATGTAACTTAGCATAGCTAACAGGTATTTTCTGTTACCTACCACTTTTCAATTATCTTACCTCTTTGTTTCGGGAAACTCAATAAAAACATAACTTTACCATAGATAGTTATGAGTTTAATGAAGTTGTTATGGAAAAATTGCCACCTTGTGCCTGAATTTAGATTATCCACCAAAATACAAACAACGAACCATTCCCTGTCTGGATACACATTCAATTGACAGCTTAGTTAAAAACAAGTTTCATATATTATTAAAATATGAAATAACTAGAAGTTAAAAATGACTATATTAGATACTATAGATAAAATGACGAATCGTTTTTGTAGACAGACATAAGATTAAATATTGTTTTTGAAATCAAAAGTCTTTCAAAATTCCTAAATTCCCGCTTAGCAGACAATTGCGAAATATGTTGAGTGTCAGATACTATTGATTATAAATCAATAGTAAGCAAATTTGATCCCAGTTTCTTCATATCCCCAGAAAATAAACAGCAACAGATAACTACATACTTTTTTAACCAAATAAAAAGCTTTTCTACTATCCATTTATTTACTTCATAGAGTAAAACAGGAAGTTTAGGTGATGAAATATATTGGTGATGATTGACTGTACACTCAGTAGTTGAAATAGAAATGTTCTGTATCACTTTTACAAATGACACACATATAATCGGGTAAAAGCTTTTAACTAACATTTTGAAAGTGACTTTGAATATTCTTCACCTCTGCAGTTAATTGCACTATCCCTTAAGTTTACACAGATTCTCATCCAGTTCATAAGACAACGAACAATCAATTGTGACTTTTGACTACTGGAAAAATTTTCTGTTACGTGTAAAAATTACTTCAAAAAAATTATGATTTATGAGATTTATTGTAATATTTGCTATACATCTTTCTTAGTTCTATTACTCCCTAGTCTCTTCTTGGGATCTGCATTAATAACAACTGCTAGAGTATTTATTTAGTGATATTCATCATGGACTGATATCAGGTGGAGAACCATTGGAGAACTGGGAGCATAGGACAGCTGTTTCGTTCTAGTGTGGAACTTCTTGGCGGTACGCACTCATGACCGTACCATGAATCGAACCCAGTGGCCCAATGGCAACGTGCTGGTGCCGGAATCTGAGACTCTTGGGTTCGGGCCCTGGTTGGATCATGGGTGAGTACTATTAAGGACTCTCATACTAAAACGAAACAGCTGTCCAATGCTCCCAGGTTTCCAGTGGTTTTGCAATTTATGTCAGTCGGTAATCAATATCAAACTGAAATCAATAAATTATTATTATTATTTTCCCTTGGGGTTCCTAGTGGAACATAGGGCTTCAGTAGTACTTCGCCATTTCACTCCATTCTAGGCAGTCTTTCCAACCTGGCTCCATCACTACCCAGAAGTTGTCATTTCTTCTTCATACCATCTCCTCCATGTTACCCTCGGACACCCAGCTCGTCGTTTCCTATATAGGTTCCACTTGAGGACCTGGCCTGGCGCGTGATGTTCCCAAATGGTCTTCTCAGTGTATGTCCAGTCCAATCCATCTCCACTTCCTTCTGCATATTTGATGAGCGATAGGTTGTTGGTTGGTTGGTCCGTTGTCCAGTCAGAGTTCCTTGTTGCCTATTCTTCAAATTGTATTTACTTTTGTCTTTCAACTAACTATTTTTACTAAATATTTCAATACTCACTCTAATTTTTCCTTCTACTATTCAGTAGCACAAATTTCTTATATACTTGTGATTACCTGATAATCTTTCGAAAAGATATCTGAAAGGCTATGCATAAGTTATGTCATTGAAGAGTTTGCGCATTATGTATGAACAAGGTGCATACTGAAAGTACCGAAACCAAATAGATTTTGTAATCTTAACCATTAAGCTTTTAGCTGAAGATAGAAAGAAAATCCAAGCCTCCATATGAATCTTCTTCTAATCTTTAAGCTGTGGCCGAGGTCAAGGGATTTTCAAAAGGAAAATAAAAGTGTAGTATCAACTTCTCGATATCACTTAAAACTGAATCAACCAAACAAATCAAAGGAAATTCTATACGTAGATAAATCATCAAAAGAACAAAACTTCTGATAAATTCTAAATATTTAAGATCAGCATGTAAATAACACAACATCATGCAAAACATGAAGATTTCTGCGAAATTATCTTTGACGTAGAGAAGAATAACAAACATATTTTTGTTTCACACTCGTACAGATATACAATATTCTCTTAAATGGTTTACAATTAATTCTCTCTAACAGACGTGAAGTAAGAAGTACTTCTTAAATTAACTGTTTCAAGAAAACAGAAAATATGCAGGCTAAAAATTTACACAAGCCAAGCATCACTTCAGATGCTTACTGTGTTACATGTACTTATAAAGTACATATAGCTACTGAGACTTGTAATCATATAAAAGTTTTACCTTAATTAGCATGTTTGATCACTGCAAAATATCACATTGCTATTGCTATTTGTTCTCATTTAAACAAATTATTGGCAAGTTTAATGCAAATTGAGAAAAAAAATCTAAAGGTATTTATGAAGTAAACTTTCACTATGAATATATGTTTGGATAAATAATGAAACAATTGTACTAGTGAATAATAGATTATGTTCCTGAATTATTC